ACCCCCCACTCCAACAACACTCAGTTTGTTTCCTGCAATTAAGAATTCCTCATATCAATGAGATCATATGATACATGTCTTTCTCTGTTTGACTTATAATCGCCTGACTCTTGATTTCAGCTCAGGTCATGGTCTCAGGGACGTGGAATCGAACCCTGCATCAGGCTCTGTGCTCAGCATCAAGTCGGCTTGTCCCACTCCCTCTGTTCTTCCCTCTATCTCTAAAATAAATGAATAAAATCTTTAAAAAAATAAGTAGCCATCTCAAGGAGATGTGTTGCCCATATCACAGGGAAGTACAAGTAGAGGTTTCCAGAAGGGACTTTTCTGAGAATCCTACAAAAGGACTCCATAAGAAAATGAGTCAGTGTTGAACATCCATAAAAGCAAGAGAAACCAAGACCAAAACAATAGCACCAGTCAAGGAAGACTTTTCTCCTTACGTCCTCTTTCCTACCTGCTGCAACCTCATAGGAGCCACAGCCTATTGGGTGGAAGAAAAGAAATTTAGGCTAAAGAAACGAAGAAGTTTAGTGTATCTCCCTTTTCACACTGTAAGTTTCTAGCTTACAGCAAGCCTGAACTCAAAGAAAATACTTTTTTTTTTTTTCAGATTTTATTCATTTATTTGATAGAGAGAGAGAGACAGCGAGAGAGGGAACACAAGCAGGGGAAGTGGGAGAGGAAGAAGCAGGCTTCCCACGGAGCAGGGAGCCAGATGCAGGGCTCGATCCCAGGACCCTGGGATCATGACCTGAGCCAAAGGCAGACGCTTAACGACTGAGCCACCCAGGTGCCCCTCAAAGAAAAGACTTTAAATGAAGCTTACATATTATTACACACAACTGGAGATTAGTAAAATGAGACTGACCTTATCACTGAAAATAACCAAAGGATACCAAAGAGTGATCAAAACAATTATAGAGACTGCACAAGTTTTTATTCAGGGCAACAAAAAAATTAGCCCATAGAGAGAGCTGAAGTAGAAATTATGAAAAAAAATTTTATTTTGCTTGCTTCCTATGGAGTCCTGCATATTTATAAGTTGATTTGGTTTTCCAGGTACACATTCATATCATCTGCAAAATGATTATCTTATATCCTCTTTTCTAATTTTTAAACCTAAGTGCTTTGTTAGTGTTTAAGTGCTTTGGTTAATACCAACGCAACAATGTTAAATAACACTGGTGATGGTGTATATTCTTGTCTTTTTACTGACTTTACTAGGAATGCTTCAAATATTTCCTCATTAAACATTAGGTTAAAAAACGGGCAGGGGGGCGGTGCCGGGCTGGCTCAGTCGGTAGAGCATGAAACTTCTTTTTTTTTTTTTTTTAAAGATTTTATTTATTTATTTGACAGAGAGAGACACAGTGAGAGAAGGAACACAAGCAGGGGGAGTGGGAGAGGGATAGGCAGGCTTCCCGCAGAGCAGGGAGCCCGATGTGGGGCTTGATCCCAGGACCCTGCGATCATGACCCGAGCTGAAGGCAGACGCTCAACGACTGAGCCACCCAGGCACCCCTACAGCATGAAACTCTTGATCTCGGGGTTTGCAGGTTCAAGCCCTATGTTAGATGTAGAGATTACTTAAAAACAAAATCTTAAAAAAAAACCCCAAACATCTGATTAGCTTCTGAGAACAAAATTCAATGCATTTCTTTTATCTTCTATTATATTACACTAAACCCCTAGCATTATTCCCGTTAATATTGGGCAACAATCTTCACTACAGAAATGGCAAGTGTAATTAGAGGCTGATGGGAGAGGAGAACAAGATACTCTGGG